CTCTCCTTTCAAACAGTGGCGCCTCCAGAAATTTTTCGTAGGGGTGGCCAGATGGGGCCAGTTAAAATCTTGGGGTGGCACACCAAAACTACAGTATAAACCAATTTCAGAATTGTTTTCTACTGTTGTAATAAACCAGCCTGTAGAAACCTATCAGAAAGACTTAAGGAAACTCCTACTGATATACTTTGGTTTATTGTGTAATATTTAATGTTACTAATGATATTAGTAGGGCCCAACTAATATATATTACATTGTATATAATGATATATATTATATGATATATAAGGGTCCTTGCCCCACAGCAAATTTCCAGATACTTACATAATTGTGATGAATTTAATCATTTTTAAGTTATTAGTTTGCAGTGTAAGATTACAGTTAACACCTTTAAATATTACATACATGTATTATGAATTTTTAATACACTTAATGAGTGTATACATCAGCAGCAAAAAGTAATTCTTGAAAAAATCTGCACAGTAAATTTATAAAATCTAAATATGTTAATAAAAACAAATTACTATTAGTTCTCTTTTAAAATTCAATCAGGCAATCATGTCACAATTTTATATTTATATATTACTGTCAAGAATTCAGAAGTGCATAGCCTAAACTACAAATAAATTATATACAATTAAATTATGCTTATTTAAAATGTATTGAGCAGGCTAGGTATAACAAAATATATTGGCTTTTAATAATATTTCAGTGCGAAAACCCATGATTGAGCCCGTTCTTGCATGATTACATGAAAAACATCGCGGGTGCAGAATGATGTGCTCAAAGCAACATGGAGTCAGTGTGCAGCAGCACTGCGCTTCATAAGTGTGCATTTAAAAGCTCATGTCACAAATCGAAAAAATGTTGAGCGCACAAATCCAAGTGCGATTTGTTCCTTTGTTTCACAGTTATTGTGCGTTTGATGCCGATTCATAATCCTTGTGATATGTATGTGATCTAACAGAACACGGTAGTGAGTCGCTTAAAAACAGCAACAAACTCCAAGAAAATAAAGTAATTTTATGCGAATATACAGACTTTTATCTACAGATCATGCATTTATAATGTCAATATATCATATTGGAGAGAGTTTTACCGTGCATCCAAGAGGCGCGCGTGCTGTTTGAATATGAATGGAGATGATTGACAGTCGCAGGAGGAAAACGAGTTTATACTTTAATGATGTAAATATACTTCTTTCCCTCACATTAAGCTATGGAATGACTTCAGATGACTTTGTCACCCAAACTGACGTGAAAAAAGCGGGAGGCGCCGAAAAGCGCGCTGTTAGCATCCCTGCCTGTCCAAACGTGGCAAAAACACACCTAAAAGCTGCTGTAACAGTGTACCATTTGGCACTTAAAAAAGCACGTCACGACACATAATTCCCCGTCTTCTTTTACTTAAGAATATTTTTGACTTATTTATAAAATGCATAACTGATGCTACAAAAATTAATACTGGCCATTGGGGTGGCCAATGGGGTGGCCAGGAGTCGGCCAGGGGTGGCCATGGCCACCCCTGGCCACCCCCTGGTGGCGCCATTGCTTTCAAAGTTATGCCGTTACGCTAAAGGTTATATATCTGAGCAGGATGTATTGATACTGCACTCGGCTCTGGATCCGTGTCTGGTCAATTGACTTCATCTTGAAATGGTTTAGCCTGTTTCATTTCATAGATTTGTCCATATTCTTTGAGCTAACTTTCTCAAAGCTCTGTTAAAAATGACTATCGATATCTGTCATAGATTTCAAAGTGAATAATTGCCCTAATTAATGCCCATTGGCAATTTCATATTGATAGTCTAGTCTTGAGTGCTGTGAATTGTCTGGATGGTACTTGTTTTATGGGCTTGCAGCAAAATGTTTTGGATGTTGAAGTGTGTGTAAATGAGAAGGCTATCCAGGTCAGTGCTTGACAACACTCTGTTTCTCTCGTACACTCAAAACACACACACACACCGAAAGCATAAGCTGGTTTTCCGATCACGTCAGTAGCGGTAGTTAAAGGCTGTACTGTGACACTGAGGGAGCTGTCAAAAGGCTCTGGACTTATTTCATGTAAGGTACCCTAGCCATTAGCTCACACTGACCTTTCCTGCAATTTCCTTCTGTCAGATTCACAACACTCTCCTGTGTAGTCTGTATGTGTGTGTGTGCTCGTGTTTTCCCAGATTGCATGTGAGATTTTTGTCTATGAAGAAGAAAATCCTCAACCACGTTAAAACATTGTGGGGGGGGGGGGGGGGGGGGGGCATTTGATCTAAAAAACAAAAAACAAAAAAAAAAACAACAACATGTTTGTCAACATGTTTCTCGCTTTTCCCAAACATATGCGCTTACACGACGAAATGCGTCCTGGAACCAGATGCAAACATGTGCATTTTTCTATTCTTCTAATCCTTTGTAATTGGAAATTAATTCAACGGCCTTCCAGAGAAATCGATAAAGAATTAATGAAAGGAAAGAGAGGGTCATTAAAAGCAATAAAGAGGTAGGTTATGATGGCATCTGCAGACGCTGGGTATCATCGCTGGGTATTTTGCTCATATTGATAAAAATGAGAACAAACTGCTATATTCAAATGTATTGTATTCACATTTGTGTTTTTAATTTGATTAAAATGTATTATTATGATGTATAACAAATATAAAAATCATTGAATAATCAGATAGATAGATAGATAGATAGATAGATAGATAGATAGATAGATAGATAGATAGATAGATAGATAGATAGATAGATAGATAGATAGATAGATAGATAGATAGATAGATAGATAGATTTTTATTACAATGTGTTATATTATATTATATCAGGATAATTCCAGTGAAAAGCTGAATTACAAAAATTAACTCATATCCTGATAATAGCAATGCTAGAGGTTTCTAGGTTTAAATTAGCGCTTGACTCCCAGAATATATATTATATATATATATATAATACACACACTGTACATTAGCTGTAATAGAAATAGTTTGGCACAGAGACTGCACATATACTGCACAGATATATATATATACCACTAAAGCCGGCCGCCACACAGAGAGTATCACAGCCCTGATGTTCACCTACCATTCACCCAGCCCATAAAGCTGACAGACTGAGACAATACAGCCACTGGCGTCTGTGCTGGGATAATAGAGAATGGCCAGTAGCTGGCGGTAATATTGCTGGATAAATGATTATTGATTAGATAAAGGTTGAGATAATCATTAGCCTTTATCCGTTTCACTCAGTGAGTCTGACCTTTCTGCCTCTCTCTCTTTTAGTACTGGAGATATCTGTATGGCGAGATGATCATCTGTGTCACACACACACGAATATTGGTTAGAGAGAATGAGGAGGAGCGAGAGAATATAGGGTGGGAGAGGAGGAAATGACATGTGTTTTACTGTCTGTGGGATGTGTTTGATTGTTTAGACCTCTCTCTCTCTCTCTCTCTCTCTCTCTCTCTCTCTCTCTCTCTCTCTCTCTCTCTCTCTCTCTGATACTGTATCCTATCAGTTATTTTTATTGATTACATTTTTGCAATCCTAACACTAGAATTGTGTACTTAATTACACTTGAGAGAGGGAGAGAGAGAGAGAGAGAGAGAGAGAGAGAGAGAGAGAGAGAGAGAGAGAGAGAGAGAGAGAGAGAGAGAGAGAGAGAGAGAGAGAAAGAGAGAGTGTGTGTGTGTGTCTTGGATGCTGAAAACACTTGATATGTACTCACCAAAGCAAACAGATCCATAATAAATCCACTGGGGACACTAACATCTTCTTTGTATCCAGTGCTAGTGTATTTGTGTGCATGACTGAAGTAAGTTACTGAGAAAAGGAAAATGATCTAATGCAATTCTAATTTAAATCTTTAATCTAATTTGAAACTCCTTTGGAAAAATGATTCTAATATAAAATACACATAATGACAAAATAGCTAATTGACACTTATGTTTTGGTCACATCATACTGAACATCCTCATCAGGTTTTACACACACTTGTGGAGTTGATGCAGCTCGGGTGCTGCTGTCATAAAAAAAGAAAACTCATGTCAATTTCTTTAACTGTGTTTTTACATACACTGCATGAATGCCAAAATTGAAATAAAATGAGAACAATTGAATTATCAACAATTTAACAATTTAAAATGAGAACTCATCTAGTGATACATTAACATTCTATTCTATTGTAATTTGATTTATGCCTTTTAAAACACATAACCACTTTTTTATTTGTTATGAATCTTTCTATAGCCTAGCTCCTGTAATTTATTATTATTATTTTTTTTCTTTCATGTTCACTCAAAAATTATGCTATTTGTATACTATTATCTATTTAATTCTAAGTGTTTGTACTTAAAGGAAGAGTGTGGAAGCTCTCGGTCTGCATTATAACACATTAGACTATAGCTCCTATGGCGGCTTTATTTATTGAATTACTCCAAATTTCCCTCTTAATAGCCAGTTAAGCAGCAACAGACCCTTGCTAACATCTGGCTGCAATCAGCAGAGGAAATCCGCTTCTTTGCCTTTTGTTCTATTTATTCACAAACCCATGCTGGAATTGCGATGTTTATTTAAAGTAATACTGCCCGTACAACTACTGTACAGAGAGACATTTGGACGTTTTTACACAGAATTACATTTCCTAAACAATTGTCTCTGACAACGCCTGTGGTTATGCAGCATTGTGGTGTTGTGGCTTTAATGTTTTGCATGAACAGACTTGTAATTGGGCTGGAGTTTCAGCATTCTGCAGCAAGTGTATCAGATACTCGGTTCAGCTCAGAATTACACATTTCATCCAGTGTGTGGCTTTCCACTGGCTGTGTTGCTATTATGTGCAGTTCAATACAATTATTGAAAAGTGTCTCCAAATATCTGTGAAATAGTTTAATAGTCATGACTTTTGAATTTTTTCTAACATATATTTGATGAAAATTCAGCATCACTTACTTACACAATTACTATAATGAGTGCCACAGTATTGTGTTATGGAAAACATTGATTCATTAAAACGTTCAATCATTCCAAAAAGTAAAAAAGACAGCACTAAAAATGCCAAATGAGGTTTAGTTTTTATTAACACTTTTACAGTACAACAGTGACTCAGTGAAGGAAAAACATGCTGATCCAGAACATTAAGGAATAGAATTTCCCAAAGACGCAACACGTATGAGTGTTTCTGACAGACAGGTCAGAGCCTTGGCCGCATGAAACATAACCAGTTCAAACGTTTCTTCATGGTGATAAAAACCATATGGATGTCAGTTACACAGCTTAAATAAGCATTTGCACAACTCGCAGGCCAGCTCTGCACACCCGGCTGACTATGAAAATAATTAGTGTGTGAGCTGGAGCCCTTGTGGTGGCTAAGCTCACAGCTAACAACCCCCCGAAGAGCTTCTGTGCGAGTCCCCCTCAAGGTCTGTGTGTATGGAGAGTCTAGAGGGACAAACACAACTGTGGCTTTTCAACAAAACTCTTTCTCCCATTGCAACAATGTTTACTTTTAGCAATAATGGGAAAAAAGAGCTTTGTAAATTAGGTAAATATATGACGACCTCATGATAATTGTATTTTATAGCTTCAAGTGGAGGGAAAAAGGGTATTTAAAGGCGCTTTTCCACTGCATAGTACGGTACGGTTCGGCCCAGTACGCTTCGACTCGGCGCGGAACAGTTCGGCTCGCTTTGCTTTTCCACTGCAGTAGTACCCCTTCAAAGTGTTAGGGACTGATCGTTATTTGCGCGCGCCTCTACTGCCATGACATCATCTTAAAAGCGCCACATTTTCAAACCCACAACACAGGAACAATCAACCCGGTCTCACCCCAAGACGTCATATAACTGACGTTTTGGGACGTCTTTTGACCATACGTCAATATTCGCCTTTTTAGGGCCCCCTTAAACGTCGGTAGATGAGGTTATGGGATCCTAACTCTACCCCATACCTAAACCTAACCCTAAACCTAACCCGTCACCTAACTGACGTTAAAGGTAAAGCGTCAGTTGTATGACGGCCCGGGATCGCCATCTACCGACGTTTAAGGGGGCCCTAAAAAGGCTGATATTGACGTATGGTCAAAATACGTCCCAAAACGTCAGTTATATGACTTTTTGGGATGAGACTGTGTTAGAACAATGGAGAATATCGAGGGGATGGTGTTCCTGATTCTCGGTATGTGGTTGTTTTTAACTGCTAGACGGAAAAATGTGTTTAAAATGAGGCTGATGGCAGCAAAACAAAATACTGCCAAAAAAGTGTCTCGTGTCTTGTGTCGCAAATCCAATGACGCTAGTAGTGACGCTGGTAGTGACGATTCTGTCTGACCAATCTGACCAATCTGTCTGTGATCTGCAGTGTTTCACGTCACATTTTAGTACCGGTACGGTACGCTTGGAACCTCAACAGACCAGGTACCATTTAAAGCGACCCGAAGCGAACCGTACTGTACCGTACCATGCAGTGGAAAAGCACCACAAGTGAGCCGTACCGAACCGAACTGTACCGTACTATGCAGTGGAAAAGCGCCATAAGATTATGGACAGACAGGAAGTGAAATAAGCAGATAGTCAGTGTCTTTGAAGGAATATTCTGGGGTGGGGGGGTGACTTATGAAACAACTTCAACAAACTTGTTTTAGCAAACTTTATTTACAATTTCTATTTTTATAGTGATATGTTTCAATGAGTGAAATATATAGGCTATGTCTGTGGCGAAGTCTCTAATGCTCAACAAGGCTGCATTTATATGATCGAAAATAGTGTAAAAACAGTGATATTGTTATATAAAATATATTATACTGTGTGTGTATATATATATATATATATATATATACATATATATATATATATATATATATATATATATATATATATATAATTATTTCCCTTTTATTCCATCAATCCTTGCTTCTTTTTTCAATCCTACAGCTCTGTAAATATTTCAGCTGGTCATATGTATGTGTGTGGTGTGAAGTGTCATTTAGTCAGGTAAAGTGCAGCAGGGCAGACTGTTAGAGGTGAGGAAGAGTGAGGGGGTAGATGGAAGAGTGTAACTGTAATGGGATGAGAAAGGGAGAGACCGATAACTAATGTGCTTCCTGTGTTCTCCCCTCTTACTTGTCATCTCTCCCTCTTTCACTCAGAAAGACCATCTCTTGGTTTCTGGATATGCGTGAGTGTGTGTGTCCAGTGAGTGTCTACTGATGTGTGTGAGATGATGATGATGATGTGTCTACTTGTATGTGAAAGAGTAAAAAGAGAGCGAGTGATGAGGAGAAGGAAATGAGAGGTGACTGAGACGTTCACTTAGCAGACAGAATGATATTAACATTGACAGACACCTTTATATGCATATCAGCAGTGTGTGTGTGTGTGTGTGTGTGTGTGTGTGCACTTTTCGCTTTGGTCTGTGTGTCTGAATTTCCGTGCATATGGTCCTTCTCATGTGTAATATCACTTAATGTCTTTGAAGAGCTTGTTATTTATCCAAAAGTTACTGGGTGTGACTAGACTGATTCTTGTCTTTGGAACAGGTGGATTAGAGATTCATTTGAATGAGGAAGTGAATGTATGAATGTGAGCAGTATGACTGTTAAGATGATGTGATTTGGCACTGACCTGAATTCAATCATATACAAGCGTTATCAATCTGATTCTTCGGATATTCACTTCTCTAAAAAAGGAGAGAGAGAAAAAAAAAAAAAAACCAGAACAATTAAAAGTAACTTCAATAATGTGTTGTGATTCATACTGTTATCAAGCCATATATATATATATATATATTCAGATGCAAAAGCCTCTAAGTGCCATTTGAAATTTTCTTCTAGAATGATCATTTTTATCAAGCTTGTATGTATTTAAGTTCAGTGATTTCACTTAAATGGCAATGATAATTACCTATTAATTGTTATTTAAGTGAAATTACTGAACTTAAATATACAGGTTTCATAAAAATCATCATTAAAGAAGAAAATTTCAAATGGCATTTAGAGGCTTTTGCATCTGAACTCTTCATATATATATATATATATATATATATATATATTAATGCTAGATAGTCTATGTTAATAAATGCTCTGCTATTAATTAATAGCAAACTAAAATAATGTTCTGCCCTCTGATATTTATATATATATATATATATATATATATATATATATATGTGCAATATACAAATTGTTTAAAAAAAAATAAGCAACAGCATTGCAAAACTGAGTCATGTTGTGGGCTATGTATTTCTTTCTTTAGGGTAGTAGAACATTTATTGAGCATGATGCTTTTTAGATGGCTAGGTTAAGCAGAGTGCATGAAAAAGTATTATTGAGCCACCCCTAGTATATAAGCATTCTTGCTGAAAGTTACAATAGTAACCAAGACATTCCCTATCTGTCAGTCACTTTGACGTGGTGTTGATGACTGACACTAGGGGTCACCTGGGAAAAACGCCAGCTGAACAGCTGAACCGTGTTATAAGGTTTATGCGGTATGTTGGCAAGCCCAGCGTGCCGGGTAACAAGTGCACTTGCAACCTACCTAAAGACCCACTTAAGCCATGTAGTCCTTTGTACCACACAGGTACATATAGGACAGAATTTACAATAGGGTCACTTCAGTCAATCATTTGACCTTTTCTCTCAAACGCAGCGACTGCCAGCAGAGATGATGCTCTGCCTAGGGGAAGACTCAGGTTTACCATTAGAGAAACTTTATCGCAGACAATACATACATTATATGGGATTACTATCAGGAAAAAAATATATATATGGGCAACTAGACGGACTAAATGGACTGATCTGATAAGAGCATGCATTATGAGTTCTGTCAGGACCACTATAGTACAGAAGAATAATCATACAGTTTGGACTGGCAGTATGATTCTGTTCCGGGCAAGAACTCCCCCTCATCCATGAAGTCTAGTATGCATAAGAGCAAGGTGAGCAGCGATAACCCCTCTTAGGTTAACATAACATAACAGAACCAACATAAAGGTACAGGTGTTGTGATATGATTAATGTTCTTAATGAAAATAATTTATTGTAACAATATAATTCAAGAATAATGGGTCTGATTCGAAGAGGAATATCAGAAGGCCAAGTCCTGACGGGACGAGAAGAGGAGTGTAATTAGCTCCTGAGCCACATGATAAAGCTGCTGATAATACAGAATGGACCTTATATATAGGGATGCTGTGATCGGTGTCGTAGTCCTATAGGTAGACATAGATCAGCTGAGGGTCAACTGATACAAGCTTGATTAGCGTGACCTCACAGAATTAACGCTACGCTTGATTTCTGTCAGGACCACTATCGTCAAAGATGATTAAGCATAATCATACAGTTTGGATTGGCGAAATGGTTCTGTTCTGGGCAAGAACTCCCAGTCTATCCATGCAGTCTAGTATGGATAAGAGCAGGGAGAGCAGTGATAACCCCCCAAAACAAAACCATATTCTAACACCCCCCAACCTAGCCTGTCTAACGTCAGACCCAAGTGTGGTGTTGTTTATTTGTGTGTTTTGTGCAGGCTTGTAAGTTGCAGACTTGTAAACATATCAAAAGTATAACTGAAACTTATAGATTGGAGCCATTTTCTGGGTTGTTTTGTTGTTTAACATTAATATGAGAATGTTCACCTCCCCATTACAAACTTTCAAGACTATCAATGTTTTAAATGACCAACTTCTAAAAGCAAATGTACAGTTGTCTTTGTAAATAATTGCTTGCTTATGTAGCTTTGAAGCCGCTGTGACACTGTACAAACGCTTCCAGTGTGAATACTCTCACACGTCTGCATGACGATGTCGTTATGCTGACACGCTGCTCAAGTGCCTCTCACGTTTGCGCTGTGAAACGGTCGTAAGGCTGCATCGAAAAGTAACTTCGTGTCTGCTGTCATGTTGAATCCACAGGTATAAATAAACTGCTTCGGTGTGTCGCATAGACGTCACCATCGTCTTGCTGCTCCGACAGCGGAAAACTACATTTTTGGAAAGGAGCACCCTCTGAAATAGCAGACTTTGGGCAGTGTACCCCTTACATGATGGGAGTAGCAGCGAAGGTGTGCTCTTCTGTTACAAGCAGCTGAGTAGAGCAGTATGTCCCTTCTGTTTGAATCACTGAATTATTATTTTCATTATTATACTTGATAGGTTTAAGCATAGCATGTTGGCAGCGACAGGCATGTTGCCAATGACAACAGATAAGTAACGTACATTGTCATTATGATTGCAAGCCATGCAAAATGAGCATGTTTCCAAAAACAACTAGATCAGCTTTAAGAAATATTTATGTTGGCGAACCCGGCGAAACCCCCGGAAATGGGTCAGGTCATAAGGGCCATCTTCATAGAGAATGCAGTAAGCTCTACTGACTTCTAGGGCTCAAAAGGAGTTCTCTATAGCAAGACTACAGATAAATCCCATGGGGGAACAAGGAGTGGCCTAGGAGGATTTAACCCTTTCACGCGTACGATCACACCGGTGTGATCAGTCTTGGTTGGTCCCTGGAGCGTATGATCACACCGGTGTGATTAGAACGTTCAGTGCACACGTCAGCAACTGCTAAATTCAAACTTGCTCTTGCGTTGGCTGGCGCTCAGCCAGAGACAGACACACTCAGTGCTGTCATATATCACAACTATTGAGTGTTTTCAACCACATAATGTTTATTTTAGGTTTCAGACATTTAAATACACATATGTACTAGCAAAACAATGATTTTGAGTTTGTAAAATACATACAGATGTCTATGGAAGCGGCAATAATAATCCGACACATTATAATAAGACGACACATTTTATTCATACCAGATACACATTGTGTAAGTAGCTTAACATTTGATCCTATTCTTCTCCCAGTTGACCAGCCACTTACTATCATGTATTTCGTGAGAAGTGGATGAATTGACGTTATAAATCCAACAGATCTGATTCTCTGAACTGAAAACGAAACTAAAATGGCGCCGCCCGTTGTGCATAAAGCTCAACTAACGCGATCGTTATAAAGATGTCTAAACAACAAAACCCATCCACTTGCACATATTTGACAATCGGAATATCAGTGTTTCATGATATAGCTAATACATTTTTGAAAATTTTTAATAAAAAAGGAAAAATGACATAAAAGCAGATCATCATTCATTCCGCGCTCTGTTCTGGTTGTGCTGTGTCACGTGACAAGCAATGACGCGTCACCATGGAAACATTAAAGTGGCAAGTTCTAAATAACGGTCGCCTTGAAAAACTCACGCTGGGGGGGTAAGTTAGAATATTTTAAACTTACGTGTGAAAGGGTTAACCTCCTGGTGCCCCAGAGGAATCTGATTATCAGGTCATGCTTCCCTAAAGACTTGCCATCCACTGCGTCATAATGTGATGCTATGGCAGCCAGATACACTGGCAGGGTTTCAAGGTGGAAGGGAACAGCCGTCCCTCCAACCTCTCCTGCAGGAAAGGAAAGTACTGACCTGACTGTGCATCTCTGTGGGTCTTCCCCTCAGGAAGCACACCAGTTAGCAAACTTAAAGTGAAGTCAGTTTATGCCATAGGCCCGCCCCGTAGAGGGGGCTGTCGCAAGGGAGCATGAGCTCCAAGAACCAAGTCCAGGTGGGCCAGTATGGCGCAACCATCAAGATTTCTTCGTCTTCCCTGACTTTGCACAACGTCTGTGCAATTAAACTCACTTGGGGAAACACATACTTGCAAAGGCCCAAGGGCCAGCTGTGTGCCAGTGTGTCCATGCTGTGGGGGGTCTTGGTCAGGGAATACCACATTGGAGGATTACTAGGAGTCTCTACTCCCCTGAAGAGAGATTGACACCATGTTGAGAAGCCACGTCTCCCCATCCTGTGGCTGTGGGTGTACTGGAACACCTATCTTGCTCTGTAAGCCACAACTGGTACTGGCCTGTGACAGCTGAGGAAGCTGCACATCCTCTGAACTTGCCACACTGATCTCTGCGGGGGGTTGTGTGAGTCGCGTCTGAACATGAGGAGGCAGTAAGTCAACGCACATAATGGCCGGGCTTTAATAAAATTTGGGTCCCAGTGGCACTGGGGCGAGTGGTGGAAGAAAAATAAAATAAAAGCAAAGATTCTGCTCGGCGGCCAGGCCGTGGGCTCAGATTGTAGCGGACCTGATGTGGCAGCTGCAGGCTGAAGCACTCGGTAATGAGCGGATGATGACATTGGTGGCCATTAGGTGGCGGTGGAATCACGGAAGGATGTAATTAATCGTCCCCATCTGCTTCTGGATTGTTGGAAGGCTAAAGTCCTTGAAACATCTTAGCAAGTTTAAGCCAGAGATGGGGCTTCTGGACCACTTAGAGAGCTAAGTCGGTCGCCAAGTGCAGTTCCTGTATCAATCCCGGCTCAGAACTACCCTTGTGCTTTGGCCTGATAGACCTCAGGATGGCCATGGCATGCAGGGCGGAGGTGGCCTGTCCAGAAGCACTATAAGCCTTCGCCATTAGAGCCGAAGTTAACTTAAGGGCCCTGGATGGGAGTTTGGGAGGATTCTGCCAGGTGGTGGCATTTTGCAGGCATAAATGCACCACAAATGCATGTTCCATCTGTGGAATGTCGGTATACCTCCTGGCACCCCACCTTCAAGAGTAGTGAGGGTGGAAGAACTTGTAAAGCAAGATCGGCAGTGGAAGGTGCCCTCCACAACCTGGTCAGCTCTTCATGCACTTCTGGGAAGAAAGGGACTGGGGCCGGGCATGGCTGTGAGCCACGTTTCTAGCCCAGATACCAATCATGCACATGTGACATGCTCGGGACAAGGTGGAGGATTCCACTGCATGTAGCCTGATGTTTGTGGTGACTTGGGCAAGCAGCCAATCAGACTAAGACTGAGCTACCGCACCTGAAGGTGGGAGTCCAGCTGATTCCTCAGCATTGGAAGGCATAAACCCATCCTCTGATGCTGCTATCGATAGTTTCTAAATCCAGAGCCCCGAATGAGAAGTCAGATGCACCGCCAAAGTCTTCTGGGAACTCCACCGAGCCCAACGTGCAGGAAGAGTAAACAGGAGGTCCTTGGAGAATGACCAGGTGGAAACACTCCAATTTCTCTCATATAATTCTCAACCCTAGCGGCAGCAGTCTTGAGCAACTGAGCTGACCGGGATGAGCAACTGAGCTGACTTGGAAAAGAGAGTTGTGATCGCAACTTTCCCAAGGTTATGTTCTCACAATCAGGAGCGTGGGTGAGACCAAAACACTTGAGGCAGCAAATCGTGACCGTCCAAAGCTGTAAGACATCTTTAAAAAGATGTTCCCTGTCTCCCTTTTATACCCATATGTCCCGGGGACATCAATTCTCACTAGAGTATCAGGGATATTTAGGGCTCCCAACTATGACCCCTATTGTCAGTCATAGACACCACACTCGAAACAGTTTTTTAAAATCTAAAACATCACCTCTATCAGTGATGTTTTAGATTGCAACCAATTTTTAAAATTTTTACCAACTCTTGCACATGCTCGAACTCGGCCACACTGAGACTTCAACACACTGGAAAATGCATCACACAACATTCTGGAAACTCATGTAAACTCCAACTGGAACTTTAAATAATAGGCTACTTTTATCAGCTTGACGTTGAACAAACGCTCTATGCTCGTACCATGCTAACGTTACATGTGTGGTGTTATCTAGCATAAGACATTTCACTAACTATTTGTCCATCTTTCACAATCAGCAATGTCAAAATAGGTGAATGTGTAATATGATAATAAAAATGTGTTAGTGAAATAGAGTGAACAATTTAGTGTACAAGTTAGATCGTAGAAAGTAACATTACTGTAATGAATGTGTGTGGAAATGTGTATTATAAACAATATGATAGTGAAATGAGTGACGTTAGACGGCAGATCTAGTACATAAAATAAAAGTTACATCCGAAAGCACCTACTTTTTGTTATCCTGGAATGGTCTTTTGTATTCATTTCATGTCTAATATACATTGTAATTTACCTTGCTATTTCATTACAGTTTACCATTATTTCAGCATATCTAAAAAACTTGTAATTTATCACAATAAAAAATAGCGTAGGTCTCTCCATAATTCATAATTCGTGTTTTCGTCCTAAGTCGATTCACATTTGGCCTGACGAGCTTCAGCAGATACATTTTTTATTTTATTTATTTATTTATTTTTATTTTTCATTTATGTGGAGTTTGTGTTGGAGTCTGTGTTGTACTGGAGGCAGGTCTCAAAGGGGGTCTTGCCCAGGGTGTAATTCAATGTAGAACTGCCACTCTATACCACCCCAACATTTTGAACAGTAGTTCATATACAGTATATAGAGAGAAGAAACAAAACAATAGAGACACTAAATGTCTCTGTTACACTCTTAGAAGAAAAGGTTATATATAGAACCTTAAAAGGTTTTAACAGCGCTATGTATTTGGAACCCCTAAAAGGTTCTATACACTCTTAAAAAAGGGTTCCTCTGGGTTCTATATAGAACCCTGGGGTTCCATACTTGGCCAAAATAATCTTTTACCAAAAAAAAAAAAAAAAAGGTTCTATATAGAACCATTTTGGAGTTCCATATATGAAGTGGGGGATGGAACCATTTCTGGTTCTAAATAGAACCATTTCTTCTAAGAGTGTACAATATAATGTCAAGTCACAGCAGGCTGCATACCTACTAATTATAAGATAAGAAACAAACTCTGTTTTTTTTGTTTTTTTTTTCTTCAGTAAAGGCATTAAGAGACGTACCACTGGTTCTCCAATGATGTGCAGTAGTGTAAATTTGCTCTGCTGTGTAGGAGTGAAGAGTTGTTTTGCAGAGGAGTGTGGAGCTCTGTTACCTTCTCACCTGATTTTAAAAATAGAGACAAAGAGGTCACAAAGCTGAATTAATGATATGATTATAGTGTCCACTTAATACTGGTTACCATGGAGCCAACCGCTCATAGATCATGATCCAAGTCTGAGCATCTGAGACTGACATTATGATGGAGGCCTTTATTTATACTCACAGACTGAAGTATTGTAATTATGGTTAGGAGTATTACAAACCATGCATGTAGTTATTCACATTATTGTTTTGAAAACAATTTTTGTTATTCAAAGAAGATATTGGTGTACTATATCAGTTTTTTTTTTTTAGAGAGAAAAAATATATATATTGTGGAGCTTATATCAGCACTACAGGTAATAAATACCTCCCATTAACCCCTGAAATCAAAAGCTTTTCTATTTTCTTTCTTTTCAGTCATGAAAAACGACCTAATCAAAATGTAAAGCACAACTCGCTTTTACAACTAAGTGCTTTTCCCCTTTCTCTCTGAAAAGCCTGGCCTCTGCCCAAGAGAAAGCTAGACTTTTATGTCCAACATTAATTTGCTCAGATCAAACCATTTTGCAGACACTTTGCATGACATTTGGCTGGGGAACACAGTACTAAAATACAGCTGAACACTGGCCACAATGAGCCCAGGAAAACCAGCAGGCTTCATTTCATTTAGTCATTACACACGCAGTGTGAGCCTATTTTGTATTATTGCCATTGTATTCATGGTTTTGAATTGTCGGAAGTGTGTGCGCACACAGAGAGATCATACACCGTGTCTTGTATCTAACGTGTAATTAATGTACTCATTTAATTAGTCACCTTCCTGTGCCCACATACACACAAACACAGACACAAACCATCTCCTATAGTAGATCTGAGAAAGTATTTCTTTCATTTACCATTTTATAATTATTATTTATTTAGCCCTGGTGATTGTGCGCTCATACATTTGGGTAACACTTTATTTCGACATTCTACTAACTATAAGTAACTTTTCAAGTACATGTCAACTAACTGTCATTAGAGTATTAGTAGACTGTCAGCTTAATGTCTGCTAACACTTTATTTTGTTGGTCCCCCAAAAGACATTCAACTGACTATAAGTAACTTGACGACTACAAGTAAACTTATTTCCCTTACCCAAAGCCTAACACCTAACCATAACCTAACAGTCTACTGACAGTCTACTATAATATACTAATACTCTAATGAGAGTTAGTTGACACGTAGTTGAAAAGTTACTTATAATTAGTAGAACGTCTAAAGTGACTATCCAAATAAAGTGTAACCTACATTTGACCTTTGACATGTGCACTTCTTTTCCAGAATTCCTGTGTGCCCTTCGTTCTGCACCTGTTGTAGACTCATACAAACTGAGCCCTGTTTGAATCTATGATGGTTAGATGAATGATTAACTATTATCAGCATTGAGACGCATCACTTCCTGCTTATAAAGAGGACAGTTATTAGATCCCATTTCAGAAAAACCAAAACCTCCTCAGAGAACTCACACACATTAGAATTTGGACTTGGTGAAATGATTTTCAATGTAAAAATAGCACTCATATCACTGGCAATACCAGTCAGAATGGTTACTAAAGATACGTTTCATTTTGAGATTTTTCTAATTTGATTTTCATTATGTACAAAGTGTGCTTTTATCACATTTGCATGTTAAATCAAGCTCCTTTCTGTGCCATTGTATTTTAAACATGTCCTTGATAACTCTGGATAGGAGAATTGGAAGTGCTGATTTAATGCCCGAAAGTCTGAAATTTGCATCAGAAATTTTGGTACGTTAAAAAATAAATACGACCTCGCGTTATGTCAATCACGCTTGCACACTGCCTCCCAAACTTTCGTGCATCATAAAAAAAAATAAATAAAAAAAATCTAATCGGGTTCGATTTTCTGCGTTTTTCGCATCTGTAGTAAGCAGTTTGAATGGTGTTTAAATGATGTTTTGACAATTCAGAGCCACCGAATCACGAATACGAAAAAAACGCACAGTGTGCAATGGCCTTTACACTGGCAGGAAACATACAGTAGCCAAGTCACAAGTGTCACTTCTTCTAGTGTCTGGCTTTGGCCACGAGAATGCTAATCATTGGGCTGTAAAGGCGAGCCTCTGGGTGCACTTTGAGTCTCTCATTGTAAAACAAGTCAGCCAGGAGTCAACATGATGGCATCTGATAGTGTGTGTGTGTGTGTGTGTGTGTGTGCACTGATATGGGTATTTGAATTTGTCTTCTGATGAGATTTCTATTCAAAAGCAATGTGTCACATTGGTTCAGCTGTAATATGATTATTGGTTCTACTGAGTGGGATCTTGTTTTCTCTCTAATCTCTGAGTCAAAGAATACAATAGTATGCCTATCTATCAATCCATCTATAAAACATATGACGTAATTAGCTTGAAACTGCTACAGCAACACACACACACACACTTGTTTATACACACAGTGTACAATGGGGTTAAAGGGCACACCTGTATGAAAATAATTCATAGAAGTACTTTATTTTGTTTAAAAAACTTGTAAATGTATGAGGTGTTGGCATGTTTAGCCCACTGCATGGTGTAAAGTTAGCATGGGTAAATAATTTGATAAATAAAATAATACATTTGTGTTCAATAAATATACTGTAATGTTTAGATACAAAAAAAATACATTTTAAAAATACAGAAACATGCTGAGAGCATTTAAGGAGGTCCCATGTAATATAGTTTTACAGTAATAGTACATGATATTTTCTATATGGTATGATTGGTATCATATTTTTGAATGGACATCAAAAGTGGACATCTGAATCTAACCATACCACGTCAACAAATGGAAAAGTCAGCCAGCTATTTCTTACCATTGTTAATTATTGCGCCTTTCGCCAAACCTTAACCCTAACCTAGCCTTTTACCCCAAATACCAAACTTTTAAATTGCCTTCCGTTATTGAAAAACTGTTTATTTAATTACCTTGAACAAAACGGAAAGCTAGTTAACAAGACATTTGTTTATACATTTTAAAAACATCAATTATTAGATCAAATTAGCACAGAATCAACTTTCTGCCAGCGATCACGTAAATGATCAGCCAAATGTGCATCTTAAAAAGCAGATGTTTTGGAAAGTGCTGCAACAAGTTTTTGTGCCATCTAGTGGTTCAGAGGAAAATAAAATTAAAGGCGCCTTTTACCCGGGTTGTGTCTTTAGCCTTATTGTACCTAAACTGTTTCTAAACTGACCCACTCAGATTTGTTTCCCATACGTTAATTTATTTGTGGCGGCCCGCCACGATATCAACGCCACACATTGATTTTCGCTATATATATATATATATACTGAGCCTTTTTAAAATCCTATTTGATTGCAGAGCGCTGTAGCGCATTCGCGCAGCACTACCTCTCGCTCTCCCTTACCTCTTACGCCTCTCTCTCTCACGGAACACCGCTGCACAAATCTGTCTAACACAGCGCTGGTAATGTTTGTGACCCAGCTTTAAAAAAGTTATTAGCCAGCATGCAAGGAGCCTAGCTAATAAGGAGAGTTAAGTTATTGTTAGACCACAGCTGGATTTTCGAGGTTAGCATGTTAGCTGGTAACTTATGCCGCGTTCCAAGCAACCTGTAACCCGTGTTTTTCCAACCTTATACCCGTGAAAGTGCACTGGAACGGCAGTCATACCCGTGACTTCCCACCCGTGAACTCAGACTAGATCAATGTACTCCCGGTTACGAGCTCTGACGTCACATAGCTCGTGAAACCATAAAAAAACAACAATGGCACCCCCTACGGATTCAGTGTTTCTGGAGGCGGTACACGGTGAGAATACACTTTAGGACAATAACGTTAAAGGGTTAGTTCACCCAAAAATGAAAATTAAGTCATTAATTACTCACCCCCATGCTGTACCAACCCCGTAAGACCTTCGTTCGTCTTCGGAACACAAATGAAGATACTTTTGATTAAATTTGAGAGCTGTATAACTACCACATTGGCTCCTAAAGGACTGCCTCTTGACGGCCCAGAAAGTCAATGAAGAAAATGTTTAAATATCCCAAGTGACTACCGTGGCTCAACTATATGTTTATCAAGCGACACGAATACTTTTTGTGCGAAAAAACAAACAAAAATAAGAGCGAGACTTCCTTAGATTTCCACGACGCATGCGCGAGAATTGCGATCTGAAGTAGTGTAAGCTGGTGTGAGCAGATCGCAAATCTCGCGCATGCGTCGTGGAAATCTAAGGAAGTCTCGTTCTGGCCTACAAGGAAGAAAAGAAATAGTCGAATAAACTCGTTATTTTTGTTTGTTTTTTTCGCACAAAAAGTATTCGCGTCGCTTGATAAACATATAGTTGAGCCACGGTAGTCACTTGGGATATTTAAACATTTTCTTCATTGACTTTCTGGGCCGTCAAGAGGCAGTCCTTTAGGAGCCAATGTGGTAGTTATACAGCTCTCAAATTTAATCAAAAATATCTTCATTTGTGTTCCGAAGACGAACGAAGGTCTTACGGGGTTGGTACAGCATGGGGGTGAGTAATTAATGACTTAATTTTCATTTTTGGGTGAACTAACCCTTTAACTAGTTTTCAGTCCATTGAGGGCAAGGATAAATTAATACTAAATACATTTCCAAATATACAAATAAAGTCAAATAAAAGTTATAACAGCTTATCTTGCCTTATGCGCCGTTTCCTTCAAATAAACAAGGAGTAAGTACAGTTGGCGACAGTTATTTATTACAAAAGCGCATAAGCAGCGTAAGGTCCGCCATGCTGGTTTGTTTACATCTAGCTACCACAATTCCTTGCGCTCAGGTATTTTGGTGTGACTGGCCTGGAATGCTACAAAGTCGTGAGTCGTGGTTTGCAGTCGTGATTTACGTGCTCAAAAACCTAGTCCACTCGTTTTTAACCACCTCATGTTTGGTTTCTTTTTTTGCCGCCTCAATTTTGTGTCAGGTCTCCCATGTGAGAATCGAGTAAATTCTTGTCGACAATTAATCGATAGTTAATTAACCGTTTACATCCCTAAAATGTTCAAATTCATTAAATAAGCCACCAATTCGCCAAAATGTAAAATAGCCAAAAATTGCCCTGTGATTGTGTTGATTCATTCTTACCCCTTTCTCTCACTTTATCTCTCTGTCATTAGACTCTCCTAGAGTGTTTCGAGGTGAGGCTTCTGCTTAGGAGGGCTGAAAAATAGATGGAGCAGAGAATGTCAGTGTAAGATAAACACCAGATAGTGAAGTGGCTCTCACACGGTTGACAAGACAACAGAAAGAGAGAGGGAATGACGAAGAAAGGTTGATCTTTTTTTTTTTTTTTCTCTCTCCAGCACCCCTTGCTTGTTTGTAAACCCTTATAATTTTGCTTCAGAACTTCTAATCTCCCCCTCCTTCTTGTGTCACAGTTACCATGTCTTTTACAGTTTCCAGAGTCTGATTTCCAGGGTGGGGTCTTTTGACAGGCGGCTGATGGCAGTTTTTGTGTTTAATGAGGAAGGAAGTCCGACAGAGAGAGGTTGTGTCAGCGTTACATCACATTTAATTAATAAAGCAGGCCTGCACAAATACACAAAAAAAAGTGTGATTAATGGATTAATGTCATCGCTGGCACACAGCCGTAGCATTAGTGGCCGCATGGGGTAAACACACAAACACACTCTGAGGCGCTTTATCTCCCTACATCACTTAATGCATTCTATTCTTCATAATGAATAGAAGAAGGTAAAACAGCCACAATAAAAAAGAATGCCATTTGCAGAAGGGAAAAATGGACAAGCGGAATGTAAAAAGACAGCAGCTATATTTAAACAGCAGAACAATGACAGCAAGTTATAAAAAGTTATATGAAAACACATTTCAGATTATCCCATTCCAGCTCAGGCACAATCATTTACTCATCTCAATCCCTGAATCATGACACTCATTCCAATGGATATAGATTGTGCTCTCTAGTAATATCAACCTCATGGGAGCAGAATACTGGGAGGAAACCCAGTCAGGAAGCCAGAATGAGTCAAGCTCCATCTGCTCTATAAAAACACACATATGCCTTGATTGGAAAGCTGGATTTTACGAAACATTATATGGATGCATTGAATTCTGCATTTCTTTAAAGAATCCCTGCACTCGAAACATTTTCTTTTACACAAAAACAAGTGGTAAATAATATCAAAAATATAATACTTTGGTCAATTAAGTCTCAGCAACACCAGCGTCTTAAAATAACGATAGCCTTGTTTGATGGTCAGTTCCGTTGACCTTGAAGGTCTGCATTTCAGAGCTCACTTGCATCATTATTAGCGCTAAAACCGAGCCGGGGCTATTAGTTATTCCGTTAGGAGCTGTGAGCCGGGCTGGCCGTGTTTGTCTGGTTTTCATTGGGGTAAACATTTGTTCCAGTTGTAGATGTTGTGCGGCAGGAACATGAATCAGGGACGAGAGGCGGAAAGAGCTCTGACAGCTGCAGCTCATTACCACCACCATTACTGCTATAGGGGGCTGCTGGGGGAAATTCCTCCTTCCAGGGAAAACGTTCCTGTTTACCATACAGCGCCGTGGATCAGGTCCCGCACACAGAGATGCAAGGCAATCACATGCAGGCTTATTCCCACACACAAAATGAATGAAAATGTGCCATTTTGCGCGCACACACACACACAAGTTCTTATATCCACGGTCATGCTCAAATGTGCACACACACCCGCTTCCTCTCCCACGCACATCATGTGCACTCTCACGCACTAACAATCAGTCTTTATTGTGAGCTGATACTAGCACCTCCACCCCAACCACTCCATGTCCCTTACACACATGCTCATGTTCCTTCAATCACGACTGACTCATGCCTGCTTTACGTCATTCCGTCCAATCAGACAGAGTTTCATGGGCCCATTAAAGGGAAAGTTGTTTTCTTTTACTTGGTCATTCTTTCACCACTACATCAAAGTCAAACATTCACTCATAATCAAGCTCTTCACCCACATCTGCTCATTTATTGTATAATCACACTCACCCATCATATATCTCCTGCACAAACACACACCGCAATCTTCATCTCACTCACGAGCTTCAATCACTGTCTGTTTCGGCAATGATAATCTGCGGAAAATACTTTCAAGATCAAAAAAACCTGTATACAGTCAATAATGGTGCTGACATCAAACCAGGAAACTATTGAGCTAAACCATGTAATTTGAACTGATTTCTTTGGTATGTAGCCTAATTGCTGTGAATTAAAATAAGATAAAAAAAGACCATAATGGCCTACGCTTGCGTTTCATTTTATGTTTATTCGAAAAATCCTACATTCAAAATTGAATACACTTCTGTGTTGAGCATGTCTTAATTTCTGCAGTAAAATTCATTTTTTATATTTTTAAGTGTCAATTTTAAAATAGCTTGTATGACTCCCCAAAATTTAATGATATTTGAAACCTAAAAATACTTTTTACACTTGAAAATTAATGAACAACTTTCTTAAAAAATATCAAATAATAAAATACAATATATTGTAACTTTTCATCAAATCGGTATTAATTAAAAAAAAAAAAATCATTGTTTTATCAAAAATTCAGAAATTCATCATTTACTCGCCCTCATGTTGTTTGTAACCAAGAATGTTGGTAACCAAATAGTTCTTATTTTATGTTCCACAGAAGAGAGGACATCATTTACTATTTTGGGTCAATTATTTATTTAAACTTTATTATACATTTTAAACTTAATTATTGTTATTATTTTGTGTGTGTCTGTATCAAATATTTGTATATACTTCTTTATAGTTGTTGTTGACCCTTACATCAAACCGCTGAGGTAACACTTTTCTTCATTTTCAAATGTTCCTCTTCTTCCAATCTAACCTAAACCCGATTTGGCTTTAATGACCAAAACATAAGCTACAACTGCTAGAACTGGGCAATGTTTTAATTTTTCTGCTGCTCTCCTTGAAAGCATAAATCAAAAGAGATGAAAAAGCGCCACGTGTTTTGTCTGCTCCCTCCTTCTCTGACCTATGCCAATTTTTATCTCAACCTGCTTTAACTTTGTAGATCAGACTTTAATTTTGAAGCGGGTCTGTGGGACAGTGATGAATTGGATATATCAAGCAGGGCTTAAATTACCCTCTCCCTGGTGGCAGAGGATGGGAAGGTGCCGGAGAAAGAGGTATGGGAGTGGGGAGGGGGGTGCTCCATGACCTAGTAAGAGGCAGAGAAAGAGGGCTGGTCAGCACTTGCCCTCTCAACCCTGCAAGCTAGCACACCCAGAGAGAGAGAGAGAAGGAGTCAGAGAGAGAAAGAGAGACAAAAGAGCACCCCCCAACATGTAAGGTTCCTCTTCTGAGGAAGAAGGACATACCAGAGTGTGAGACACACATCAGCAGTACGAGGCAGAGGAAATATTGTTCCTCTCTGAAGAGGCCAGCAGTCATTTTCTTCCACTGAGGGCACTTTAAATTTCAGGGCTGAACAACAACAGTTGTGAGCCAAACTAGACGCATGGTGAACCAGTTCTAAACCCATTCTAATTACCTACACAGTATACATATAAGGCTCATATGATGCCCTAGGAGAGATCACACTTTAGACACTTTTAGGCCAGTGTTTGAATTGGCATGATACTCTTTATGTTGTATTTTACACCATGTTTTTATATCTGGCTATATTGCACATTTTAAATGGCTTTGATCTGCACTGCAAGTTACAATCGGATTACAATTCATTTTCAATGAGAGTGTGGAGCAAAAAAAAAAAAAAAAAAAGAAAAAAAAGAGAGAGAGTGTAAAACTACCACAGATGAGTATAAAAAAAAAATATTCTGTGTGTTTAATGTGGGATCTGCTATATCTACAATAGGCATTTGATGCTTGCTACTGAATACAAGTTTTGCCTCTCTTGAGTAGATCTCTCTGATGCCTCTTTACACACACTACTAGGAACAAGTGTGCCGTGAAGATGTGTGGTGCAGGAGAGCGTGAGCTCCAGAAGCGGGAAATCTCTAGCTCTAATTACGACACATGCTTTTTATAGCTGGCCAGGATTAGCCATTATTTTCATAGGACAAGGATATGATGGAGATATTTACTCTATTCAAACCACAAAAATGAGTTGAGTACCAAGCTGATCATGTTCTGTGTGGGTCTAGCCTGATCTGACCCTGGTCTAGCACAGCTGGGTCTCCTAGTCTCATGGGTGGTGTCACCATACATTAACCTTTATTCATATGTTCCTTGAAACAATGAGAGCCTGCTGCTGCCCTGGGCCTAACCTGTGTTATGCTGTGCTATATGTTGTATTTTATATTGTATTGCATTGTTAATTGTTTGTGTTCAATGTTGGGAGCAACTCAAATCCCTGGTTAGAGCAGTCTCACATGGCCAATAAACCTTAACTTTAATACTATATTGATCTCATCCAACTGCTAGTAAACATAATATAAACATGCTAGTCAGAGTAAATATTCAAAGATGGTTTCATTAATGCTGATCTCACTTTAAAAAGTAGTAATGTGCTACTAACTAGCACCACAAACTACTAAAAAAGTAGTGTGTACAATGGATCTTTTTCAAAGATTGTTATTTTGAATAAAGACTATTAATTAAAGTAATATGCTATTAAGCTATAAACGAATTACCCTAAAGTAATTTTGCATCGCTTAAATTTAAAACACACACACACGCACACAGGTTTCCATGTTGTATGGGGACTTGATGATTTTTATACTACAAACTCTATTTTATTTAGTATATTCTACCCTTAAACTTGCCATCACAGAAAACTTTCTGCATTTTTACATTTTAGAAAAACATCACTTAGCATGATTTCTAAGCGGTTTTTCTCATGGGGACTAAAACATGTGCCCCGAAGAACAAGGATTTCAGATTTTGCCATCTTTTTGGGGACATTATCCCCATTATGCACCAGTTCACACTGTAGAAACATCTCAATCCTGCTATGCTACCTCAATATAAAATGCATCTAATGATATCACTGATGGGGCAACTAATGTTAAATTAATAGTTAGCTTAGCTAGTCAAAAGAACGAAAAAACTCACTGAATTCTACATAATAAACAGACTAATTAAACTTTACAGTCATTCATTTGAGCAGGAGTAAAACTCATGCTTTTCATATACATCGTTTGTCGCGTTTGTTGCTTGGCACTGCTTTATATAATCGTACTGAAATTCTGGATGAATTGCGATCCCTCCTGTGGATCTGTGTCGTGTCAGCTTGTGTACATAGAGAGAAATCACAAAATGGAAAACAGGTGTTAAACTGGAGAGGGATTATAAAGCGTCTGGAATTGTGTTGAACTTTTGCATTTAGCACAATGAGACAATGCCAATTCATCCAATGTGATTAAAATAATAATAATAATTCGAGCTTTACAAAGTGGCTGAATTGATTGAAGTTGTTTTAAGCTCTTGATGTTTTTTTTTTCCACCCAAGTATTATCCCACCTCGCAAAATTTTGCGTAAAAAGAATAAACGTACAGCCTATATATATTTTTCACTATTCAACTTATGCGCATGGCACTAATTACGATTGCTTAGATTAAATTAAATATCTAAAAAAGAAAGATGTGTAGAGACGAATGAGGAAAAAGACAAACGGACAGAAGTTCACATGCCTGTAAAATAGTGCGCAAAAAATAGCACTTTCCCTCATTCTCTTCTTTCATTTCGTGCTTGCATCGGAAACCAGAATGAATGAAATGAAAGAGGCTGAAATTTGGATTAGTTAGGGCAAATTAAATTCATTAATCTCCGGTATTTAGACATGTGTAATTAAAATAGGCTGGAACTTTCCAAGAAAGTATTAGTTTAGACTAAAACGTAGGATAAATATACGTGTATGATTAAAGTCATGCTGGGGTAATGGTCAAACTTTAATGAGTGGGATCCACAGGGCAATTTCAGACTTTGCTCTCAGTTTAAAGGTAAAAACGAACTCTCACATTTCTCCGACTAGTGAGAGCTCCACTAATATGTGAAAAATAAATAAATAAATAAATAAATAGGCCTAAAGACTTTTTTTTCGTTCTAGCATATTATGATTTGTATTTTTCTGAATCTCAAAGTTCTAGTGACTTTTTGGAGAATAAGACTTATTTTCACATCGTCACGTGTGTTTTTGTTCAGATTAGCACACAAGCATTCATTTTTTTAATATTCGACAAGAAATGTTGTGTAGCCTAATCAAAGTTATTTCTTTAAACTGAACTAACAACAGTTTATAAAGCAGGGATGTTTTAACACAGCCATTAGCATATTGCGGCAAATAAAACATATTAACGTTGTCCTCAGCGCATGTGGCAATTAAAATGAGCCTCCAAGTGGTACCAAATAACTCATTATTTATGATACAAATATTATACTCATTATTTATGATACAAATATTATTTCTCTCTTTCTCATAGTGGCAGATATGCAAAAACAAAACAAGACCAATATTCCCAGAAAATATGATATATTAATTTAATAGCAAAGGGATCATTAAAGTAAGTTTATCTTTGTTTTAAGAATGATGTTTAAGTTCGTTTACAGTCTTAGAAACTGTAATGTCACTCCCTTCTCCCTCAACAACAATAAATCACAAGTTTGCATTTTCTGAAAGATCGAATTATTACTAATAATAACAGGATAATGGATAAGTTGCAAGAAAATACTTAAATACTTTTTTAAAGGTGCAAAGGCCTGTTTCACGTTAAACAGATGCCTTTCGTATTGACATTAAAAACAGTGGTTATAACAGTTAAAGACACAATACCAGGACAAAACAGACTCTTGAAGAATTTACACATTGAGGAATCCACAGAAAATCACAACACAAGACAGTCACGTACCTTTTCTTCTCTTTGGGCAACTGAGCACAATGGCAGTTAGTGCTGTGATTTTTGGACAAAATAGCATTGTAAAACTTCCTACGTCGATGTTTTTAAAATAAAACATTTTGGGGGATTTTACACATAAAAGGGGGCGTTTACAATGAACTGCGCGCTGACGTTCATAGGCTACTCATGCAGCTGTTCTCTGTTACACACTCACACGCACAGTACATTTTTATATAGATGTTAGTTGTTTAATAAAGTTTTATTTATAGTTTACATATAGTTTTATTTAAAGATGCAATTTTCTCGTTCATTAATTGTACAAAATGTTCAAGTTTACACAAAGATCATTTAATCTAGGCTATAGCTTGAAAATAACATTTAAATATAGTTTACCTGTTTAATTGCTGTTTAATAGTCTTTGAGACTAAATAAGGTCCACATTGGCACAGTTTATTTGTAGTTATTGTAGTTTTACAGACATTCAAACTTTCGAAATTAAATTTGTGGTTCATAATTAAAGTTGTTATGGACATGCTCGAACACTGAGGCCATCGCTGAAATATTGCACTAAAAATAAACAGTATATCCTGCGGTCCAGAATAGCTATGTTTCATACCCTTCACGCGGTAATCCATAGCAAATCACGAAAAATACATTCACATCACTCTGCCAACTGCCAACGAGATTGAAAAGCCGGCTATTAAAAGAAAAAAAAGAAAAAAAGAAAACATTCTTTGCATTGTTTGTGAGTTGTTTTAAGATTTTAAGATTTGTAACTATTTTTTTTAACAATTATACGCTGCCATTACTATTATTAATAGTTGTTGCTATAATATAAGCTAAGGTGTAGGCTATAGCTATTAGAAAGAAACATTCGTTCACTAAAGTTTGAAAATAGGCTGCATCCTCATGGTAGGTTACAGCGTTCCGATGCACCATTAGGCTAAGTAGCCTATCGCATAATATCTTTATCATTATTCATTTTACAATAAAATCGGAATGCATCGCCCACAAAACAGTGTGATCTTGCTTTATACGTCGCAGAAGAGAAGCTTCCCGTAGTTAAAGCGACTCCGTGCGGCGTGTGTGTGTCTCTGTGTGTGCGTGTGACACTGATGGATGCGCCAATGGTTAGACGGACAGATGCTTGGGCGGATCTAACGGCATGCACACACGAGAGTGAGATTGGGCAAAAACATCCCGGATCCGTGAAAGACTGCTCTTCCCTTTCAATCTCCCCCCGTGAGCTCGGCGCGCGGACATTCACGAGATTCTGGACATTCTTGTTTTAGTGAAAGCTACGACTCCAACTGCCCCCATTTCGAGGGCTCGATGCGATTCCCTTTGCGGTCAGATGAGTGAGAGGAGAGACAGCACGAGGACTTTAGGGGAAGAGGCGATATCTGACAACTCACCCTCAGCTAGTAAACAGAGGACACAGTTCCCATCTCCCTCTCTCATCCAATACGGACAACTTTGATTCTTCACTACAAAGAGTTTACGCTTGACAGTTCACGCAAACAGAAACGAGAAAATCCGCTCTTCATAACACTGTTATTAACTGATGATGGACATATTTGGAAAATGTTGATCTTACCGTCTTAAAAAGTCCATTCTGTTGAAGAAAGCGTTTGATAAGGGATTTTCGAAAGTGACATTAGCCTACAGAAGAGAAAAAAGCGTCTCGCAAGCGCGAGGAAGACGCGTCTGCTTCGCCCGTTTTGGTTTTATTAAATATCTGCTACCACCACAAAGAAGGCTAAAAAGTGCTATTAGCGGCCAATAAAGTGTTTGGCAATAGCTCAGTGATCCATGCTCTAGCAGCAGCAGCAGCTGAGGCGCAGCCCGAGTCAATCCCCTCCTTCTGATGTGCAATATTACAAGCAGGAATACCCAATCAAACACCTATCGCATCGATTCTCTGAGCGGATTCCCAGCGCGCGCGGACAAAATAAGCAAACGAGCCAGCGCGCGGGCTACAAGTCCGTCCATCTCCTCCTTCAAGCTTTTTGTCTATTCCCCGGTTTGTTTATTATAAAAGAGATGGACGTTTGAAAGGCGCTGGGCACTTGGAGTCTTTTGGATTTTTACAGAAAGCCTTCGGCGAGAGCCGCGCAGATTATTATTGTTTTGTTGTTGCTTTTGCGATTACTCGGACCGGATTCCTCATGGATAACACGTTTATTCAAGCAATCGAGTAAGTAAAGCTTTTGCTCTATTACGTTCCTAAATCATTCATAAAGGCGACTGCAGCCTGCCTTGCAAGCGTCTTACGCTTAAACAAAACATGAAGTCAGAATGTCGATTTGATACACTCCTATGTTAGTGTCAATCATTGCATATCTATAGTGTTTGTGACCTGCTACTTTTACTATTAGAGTGCATTGTGGTTGGCTGCGGTAGGGAGAGAGAGAGAGAGAGAGAGAGAGAGAGAGAGAGAGAGAGAGAGAGAGAGAGAGAGAGAGAGACATATGCCTACCCACATGACATGAGCTAGCTAACCCATTCGAGATGGAAGGAGTTAATATGACAGTGCTTGATGTTTGCCTCTGTTTGCAGACTTTGAGTGACGCGATCATTTCGTTTTCCTTTAAGCTTGCCTGTTGCAGCTTCCAGCGCGGAGTGAGTGAGAATCGCACTGAGGCACGAGCGGTTTTTCTCCCCGCTGTAACGGCTCGACTCTCCGTCAAACCCAAAAGACGCGCGGGGGGAAAGAGAGAAAGGAACGAGGGGGAAAATCCCGCTTCGTCTTCATCCTCTTCAGATCTTACCGTCTGATTTTTTGGTTTGAAAACTGCCGATACATGTCAGGCGTGTGAAAGCGCCCCAGGTGCCGTGTATCAGAGCAGAAGCGGAGCAGCTCTCGGGATCTCAGGGGCTCCTGAAAAAAAAAAAAAAAAAAAAAACCCTGAAAGAGAAACATGCCGCGGAGGAAACAGCAAGCGCCCCGGCGCTCGGCAGGTACGGCTCTTCTTCTTCCTCCTCCTCATTTGCTCCTCTTCACCTCCCCTTTTATTTATTTATTATATTTTTTGTGCTATCTTCATAGTAACGCTGAATGTGTCTGTGTGTTTGTGTGTATGAATGATCTGGAATTACACAGTGTTCCAGCGGTATGATGTCTATTTTAAAAAAGTTTGTCTTCCCTTTTCCCCTCCGAAAATCTGACGGTTTTTATTAAGTTTATCATGTTAGTCTAGCAGTTTTTTAGGCCACATAGTGACATTTCCTTTCATCAGAGGAAACAATATTTAACTTTATCCTCGTGAATACTAGCTATTTTAGCCTACTCGCCTGGCCCCATGCAGCTGAAGCTGAGTCGACTACAAGTCTTTTGATTGTTCTCTGTTTCACGCCGCTCTCTTTCCTCGTAGGGCGTAGATATTGACTCCATGAATTAGAGATCTATAAAGAAGCGCTGGGGAAAAAGGGCTTAGGTGTCAGCTGACTGTCATGACTCTCTTTGATGCTTGTCTTCGTTGTTTTGGGGGATTTTGTGCGAAAACACTTGATCACAAATAGCCAACTTATTAGGCTATTATTTCTATTTGTATCGTCTCTGGGAAAGCCTCAAAATATGATTTTGTAGCCGACGCACGAGGGGTCTAAGAAGAGCCTAATGGACAATTCCCATCTTTGATTTGACGGCTGATTGATTGCCTGTCATTGGGCTGCTCTTTGATCTATTCATTCCTGATAAACATCAATAAATCACTCGCCATGGCAACGCCACAACCCCGTGACGTCACGTCTGCTCTGACAACCGCCCATTAAAACATCTTTAATTGCTGCTTTTCTACTTTTTTTCCCCCCCACATAGGCCGGGGCACAAGGCCACATTTACTTCCACGGCTCAAAGACCACTAACATGAGGAACACGCGAAAAACAGACCGTTTAAATAATGATAGGCGACATCTAAATCTGCTTTATTTTTAATGAACTGTCTAAAAATAACACATAAATGGATACCTTATGACATTTTGATTGTTGGTCGACAAATTTGCAACAAGGAAAAATGATGTAGTCAAAGAAACCAAAATAGAAATGTGTCAGCTTAACTGTTGCTAATGTCTTTTGTAGGCCCACGGAGTAGCTGTATTTAAAAGCAGTGACTGATATTCTTGTGTTCAAAACTAGAATACGTACGTCTTGTGATTTTTGAATCCTTGTCTAACTTTAGGGGACACAAGAAGTCTTTGTTTATTCATGGATGAATTACACGCTGTTACTGTGTAATACACGGCACAATATTTATTGCTGAAACTTTCAGGTGAAGATCTTATCTATAAACAAGTAGACTATTGATAATCAGATTCAACAGTTTAGTACGATCAACACTGACACTCTCTTGCATGCATACAAATATCACTGGAGCATGAAACACTCATGAACGGTCCAATAGAGGGCACACCTACAGTCGTACGAAAAACACACACACACACACACACATACACAAAACTAATAACCTAATCTGGAGACGGAAGAATGGTTTGCTCCATCAGTCTGACCCGTCAAAGCAACTTTGTTTCATATTTGATTTAATTGTCTCTCCTTTGACAGCCACATTCATCAATAGCTCTAATGGTCAATCAGAAGTTGGCAGAGTGAGTGCTCTCATTTTGTCCCCCTCCCCTCCTCTCCACTCCCAATACGATAGGCTTGTGCTTTACTTTATCAAAATGCTTTTGCCTAATGGACGCGCAGAGGTAGAGGAAAGGAGGGAGGAGGGGAACAAGGGTGACTGAGAAGCTTCTCATTTCAGAGAGAGAGAGCGAGAGAGAAAATCAGGCATTTATGCCTTTGATGAGCGGATGAAGACAAATACGAAAGCAGGCTGAGAGCCTTTTTTTCTCTCTTTAGACGAGGCAACTTCCTGTGATTTTTTTTTTTTCTTTTTTAACTCCCTCTCTCCTTTCTTCAAACCAATGCCCCTCCCCTCGGTCTCTCCCTCATCTTCTCACTCCCTCCCTCCCAGCAGCCCTCACAGCTGCAAGTTATAAGGTTGACGACTGCACTGTGGCATACAAAGAGTGATGACAAATTGATTGCGCCGTTGTGATGGAAAGAGCAAAGGAAAGATGGCAGATGATGGGCCTTGATTAGGAACTTTGGGAAATCCAGTCCCCTGCAACCTTGAGCTTTGCATGAGAAAATTTCGCCCTCCCTCACATTTTCTGTCTCTTTCTCTCGCTCCCTCGTTCCGTCTCTCCCTTCCTCCCTCCTCCCACCAAGTCTGGAAGGCCCGCTCAGCCGTAGAAAAAGAAAAGTTGTTTTGCCAGCTTCATTAGTGTTCACCTAATTAGCTGTAAAGCTGATGGATTCCTGACAGGCCTAATGATTGGAGATGACAAGCTCCGCACACTGTCATCCAGCCCAATTAGGTTTGCAGCTAGTTTGATGTAATCAAGTTGATATTACACAGTCCTCCATGCCTTTAGTTGGTGCACTAACTCAATTTGCTGCTGCAGGTGACAAATGGGCCGGGGTACCTGGGTAATCATGTTGGCTGAAATAGAGCGCTTTTAATGGTCAAGAGACTAAGAGCAATAATAGTGGCGAGGTGACAAAACAGAATCAAAAGGCGCCGAAAAATCGGGTTGTGAAGGTAACCGGGTGAAAGTGGGCGGCTCTGTGTGCGCGTACGTGACGTGATTGTTTTTTTTTTTTTTTTTGTGCCTGCTCCCCATTTGTTCTCATCTATCTCTCTTTTTTAACAGACAGACACAGCACTCTCTGTCTAGTGAGGGTGATTTCACCCCCTGCCAAAAAAAAAAAAAAAAAAAAAATCAACCATTCAGGTGCAGGCAATGCAGCGTACACACCATGGTTTTGTTCACAGGCTTCAAAGCTTTTGCCAGACCAAACATATCAATTGTTTTGGGGAGTCGAAGAGAACATCAAACTTTTTTCCTCCAGCTATCTCTTTGTCCGTCTCGGTTTTTAATATCAAAAGCACAGCGTTGTTGGAAACATCCACGTGCCCTTAATACCAAAGTGTCCAAACTACTGTCTCCATGTTTAAACGTCCGTCTCGGCTCATAGTTTGGTGAAATGTAATCTCTATACATGCGTTTGAACCAAGCGGATTTGATGTATGAAGACAAATGTTGTTGACATCGGTCATTATGGTGGCGTTCATATCGTGTTTAAAGTTAGTTTATCTCATCTGCGTTTGAATAAATGTTAACTCTCAGCATTGTGTTTAGAGCGGCTAAATATGATTTATAAAAATATTTGGGTTGTGACGAATGTTACGGAGGCTGCGCTGAGATGGATTGCAGTTGGGGAAAGGAGCTGATTTCTGTGATTTTGTGTGTGTTTGATTGATTACAGACAGGGAGCAATGATTAATCAAACTCAAAGCCTCTTCCGGCAAGGGTGTGGAGGATTGCATGCGTGAGATCATATGGGGAACAACGCACCGGTGGGCTCATAAATACGGTCACATTCGCACAATGATCACTAGCACATGCTTATATGGAACACAGTAATAGGTTAGTTATGATTAGATAAAAAATCGCAGAAATAATATTGTTGAAGTTCCGTGTGTGTGTGTGTGTGTGTGTGTGTCTGTGATCTCTTTTGACTTCTTTGCCAATGAAGAAACGTCCACTTTGGTTCAAGTTTCTTTTTTTTTTTTTTTCCCCTGCTACAATTTAATTACTTAAATTATAATGAAACATCATGGTGACTTGATTATGTTAATTACCCTTATTAAAACCTAGTCATGATAATCATATGCATTATTAAGAAAAGGAAAATTATGTCATGTACACCACTGTCCAGAATTACATTCCTCTCCTCAAATGATTGGGTTTTTCTTTTTGTTTAATATATACAGTTATTTAATTCAGAAAATGATTAATCAAAAGTTTGCATACTAATGCACGTCTAGACGGATATAATTTTAATCCAGATATTTCGCATGTAATGAGCGTAAGAGTAAAATCTTCAAATCTAACAGGAAATCTAATTAAACATCACCTACAGCTCTTTAATAGGCATTTGAGTATTTCTGTATTGAATTTCCTTATCTAACAGCATTATGAATGAGGCGCACAGACACATTTTGTTATAGCTTGATTGTCATTTCAGCAGGAGAGTGAGCAGCATGCCTGTTGGATATTGTTTCCCTGAAATTTGTTTATTGCATACAGTCGCACATTTTTCTTTGCTTTTATGTACACAGTAGCTCGAAATATAACTGCATTTGGCCATGTGTAGGTGTCTCTTCAGCAGTGTGTGTGTGTGTGTGTGCGTGGATTATGGGGCCTGAGTCTTCGTCCTCTTCACATTGCTCCGGCCCAAACCCTGCGCTCCCAGGCAGCCAACTGACACTATGATTAGTTATGGCTGTCCTCCGCCTTTTTCACCGCAAGAAGTGAGCAACAATGAGAAGGGTTAAGAGCAGAAGAGGCGGGGAAAAAGCGCAGGAACGGAGAGAAAGAGAAAGAAAGAACGAAGGAAAGAGGGATGGGGGTTAAGGGAAAAAGCTGAATAACAGCCAAACAGAGTGAGAAAGATAGAGAGAGAGAGAACGGAGGGAGGGGAAGTTCTCCTCCCTGTGGATCCACACCAGGGTTGATGGTTGATAAACAGAATTTTTTTCCTGAATCTTCCGTCATGGCTCCCATTAGCTTGACAGCTGTCAATTAGGGCTCCCTTGGTCTCGCGGGCTGCAGTTTATTGCAGGCGGTTGATGCTGTCATTTCCCTCACAGTTTCGCCTTGAGCGTTATCAGGAGCGTTCACACAGTCAATAGCTGATGCATCAGCACTTATTTCTTAAATTGGCTCACAAGGCTGCATCCTTCCCTCATTTTTCCCCCTGTCTACCCCCTTACTGTCTCTCTCTCGTTTCTTTCTCACTCATCCCTTCTTTTCACCCTTTCTTTTCCAGAGATTATTTGGTGAAGATATGACGATGAATGCAGGGCGATTCCATTGTTTGTGTGCGTCTT